GTTCATTTCTTATAGGGTGTAGAATGAGTGGATTGTGAAACAGTGGTTCGTTGAGAATATCAATAACGTTACTATCATTAAAATTACGCATTTTATCAACAGACTTCCAACACTGAAGGAGTTCACAATAAAAGGATGGCAGATGACGTAGAGGTGCATTAATAGTGATACATAGAAGTTGACTGGCAAAGTGCTCATTAGTTACTTGGTTAAAAAAGTAGTTAGTGAAATTAAAACAAGGATGGTTATGGTTGCTGTACAAGTATTTTTGAATGTAACCGAGACGCATAGCGCTGATGCGCGTTGGGAGGTGCGTGACGTTTTGCCCACTTTTTTCCAAGGGGAGGTACAGTGTTTCGGCAGAACCCCAATGTCGGCCTTGCCAAAAGAATTCAACCAAAAATCTGTGCACCTTCAGAACTACGTCCATGGATGGTGCTAGGCTATTAATACGGTGCAATAGCTGTGAAGAAATCAGGTTATTAATAACAAGTGTGTGTCCTCTGTAGGACATGCTATGAACGAAGTGATTCTAGAAATTAATTTTATTATTCACTTTTGACACAAGTTCATTCCAGTTCTGGTCGGTATATGTTTGACTGTTCCCAAGATAAACACCCAACACTTTCAATCCCACACTGTTCCATTTGATGTTAAGAGGAGTGTCAGTGTTGTTGCGCCAGCTACCGGCCCATAGCCCTTCAGATTTTTGCAGATTTATTTTTGAGTTTGATGCTCGCTCATACACTTGTAGCCAGTGAGCAAGTGAACTAAAGTCCTGTTTACGGGTTATGAATAGGTGCTGTGAGGGCGATAGGTGCAGTGAGGGCGCAATTAAGGCGCGAATCAGAGACTGGGCGTGTACATAAATGAGGCGAACGTATGAAATGAAGCGGTCACCAAAACCAAAGGCACAGAGAGTGGTAAAGAGATAGCTATGATTTCGTATTCATCATCTCCCAAAATCCCGTAGTTCATACACCACACAGGACTCTTATGTTTACCACCGTCTATAGTGATGATGATGCTGACCAGAGAATGATCAGAACACGCTAGCGCACCATTACTGGTATTGATATTTTTAATTTTACCGCGCAAGCACTTGCTGATGTAAATTCTATCTAAACGCTCCAGCGTACCACCACAACCCCAAGTAAAATTCAACGTGTTACCATGGTGCTGACGCCATGCATCGCACAGTTTGAGGCGATGTATGACAGATTTGAGCAGCCTAGCAGTGCGCATGTCAAGTTCTCTACCTTTATTTCGATCTATTTCAGGTTCAGTAGTGCAGTTAAAATCTGCTCCCATTATGACAGGGTCGTTGTTTAAATTACTAATAAAATGTTCAAGCTTAGAAAAACATTCCATGCGCTCAGCGCCGTTGATTGGTGCATACATATTTATAATGTGAAATGAGATATTATTTTATTTGAATATACTGTGATAAAAATATTTACGTTTGTTGCTGGGGAAAACAAGATAGC